TTGGGAAGAGCAGTCGGGTTGATAAAGTTCAAATCCAGCGTGGATAAATTCTCCTGTGTGACCTACGTCTACACGTAGACTGCACACCGTCCTTAACTAAGTGGGTTCGTTCGTCGTCGGCTAACAAGCCCGTAGAGTGTCTTCTGTCTTCAAACTGATACACCTATTTGCTGATTGCTCGAGTGATTACCTCAGCCTCCTCGGCCTATTGGTCTCTCGGACAGACCCCTCTCCGAAGATGAGTGATCAGTCTATCCCTTCAGCTACCTCGATTACAGAGTAATCTCAAACGGTGCTTTAGCAATCGAATCAGGTGTATCGTTTAGTCTTCAAGGTTCGGTCCGGTCGGTAGTTCGTTGTTAGACTCTAGGAAGTCACAGAGAGTAATAAGATCTCGACCTAATGTTACGCGGCAGCAAAACACGAGCATCTAGTCAAGTCGTCACGAGACAAGGTCTTAGTCTAAGACACAAGTCTGTTCAAGTGACACTTCTGGTGATGTCCTCGCACTGAAGGTCGATCAGAGTTCGTTCTTATGACTCGTAGTAGCTGTCTGCTACTGACGATCGATCTCAGTCAAAGGCAAGTGAAAAGCTGGTTTAATGGTAACCAGGTCGAGATGGGTATCCAGCTCGACAAGGTCGTCTACTTATACAAAAGGTATCCGCAGTACTACGCAGTAATGCGGGATCGTTCATTGGCTGGATAAGGTGAAACGATATCTGGGCAGGGTAATGGCGAGGAAGTAATATGTATGAGAAAGCTGAGTAAGGTCGTGAGAGATAATCAGTACTAATGGGGATAACGAGTCGTGTATCAGAAGGAGGTAAAGATGAGGCGTACATGCACGTCTTGCATGCGCGATAAGAAGAAGGTCCGGAGTTGGATCCGGTGTAACCCTAGACTAGGGGTTCTGGACACCTGGGTAAAGAATCGGAGGTTGCGCTCCGATGAGTCACGTGTTGGATCACGTGGTCTGGTAACGTAAAGGGAACAAGGAAAAGAAAAAGAAAAGATGCGCCACAAGTGAGGAGCGTTGTAACAGCAACTGGATCTTTGGCCAGCCGCAAAGCACGTTCATGTGCAGGCACAACTAGTGGAAATCGTTTGGCCAAGTCTACAGTAGTGTCACCATACATGACTTGGAAAATTGGATTATGCGCAGGTGAAGGATTTATGGTCATGTAAATATGTGGCATGCCAAAGTAACCAAAGTAGCTACGTATCTCATTTCTGACCTGAATTTTTGAGGCTTGAGAACCAGGAATATGTCCACCAATAGTGTTCACATGCTTTAGCAAGTCTAATGCACCTTTTTGCTGGTCAGTCAAATCTGCATATTTACCTTCATTCTCAAGATGGTTAGAGACTGACATAAGCAAGGAGGGTGAAAGAGTGACTAATCTTCTAGCGATAGTCTGAAAGTAGGGCTTTTGTACTGCAAAGTGTGTGTGTAAGTGAGCAGAGCGACGCTGCCATATATTAAGTGCAATAAACATAAACATATGATGATACCAAAATGCCTTGTCTGCAAGATCAAGATAGTAGTTGGCCTGAGTATCAAACTCTATTGGCTTTGGCCTACTAGGATCTTCAAACCCACCAATGCCAAATGGATATAGTGTTGGAAACATACCTGGAAACAAGTTAGGATTGTTGTATTCAGAGACAGGCAGCATACCATGATGAACTACAAGATCAGGTTGCGATGCAGTTGGATTAACTATACTTCTTATTGCCGCGGCAGTAAAGCTTCTCCCACTAAGTTTATCTCCTTCTGGATCTGACATGCCCATTTTCTCCATCATAAGTTGTGGTTCATTTGATGGAGGACAGCTTTTGGCAAATAATTCTGCAGGATGTTCTGAAAAGCCTGCCGTTTCATCTTGAAATATGAGTGTAGTATCCATTCTGTGATCTTCGACAATTCGTGAACTAAGACCCGGTAACACATCATCTTCAGGATACATATCAAGTGCAGACAGATCAAAAGTCATATGTTTATACAACTTGTTATGACTCTTAAGCCACAGTAAGAAGCTCCAAATCTTACGCTTCCGCACACGATACATGTTTCCTACGTACTCAGGCTTAAACTTATGTGGACCAATAAAAACAACTGTAAGCATACGAGCAACATCGGCAGGTGTTCTTGGAAGCACTGATGCTGTGGAAACAACATTTAAATCATGTGCACATGTGTTTCCATGAAACACCTTTGGCTGTGCAGGGTCAGATGACTGGTAAATTCTTGTGATATGTGCAGTGCTACGGTAGATTGCACAAACCATTTCTTCAACCCAGGTTATATCATTGTATTGCTCAGGCAGACAACCACGATACAGATTATTAACTAAGCCATATTGTGGTGTAGTACGATATTGTATTGCTGTATAGCAGCTCGAACAAATTTTGATAGCTGTGACCATGCCATTATCGTAAGTCAGCCCTTTCTTATCCAACATACAGCTGTCTAACCTTAAGTCCTTAAAAACAATCTCAGAGCTATTCTGTTTAACTCCGCAGTTTTCTAGAATGAAAGGATCTGTGATTTGGAATGCAGATAATACTTGCTTATTCAGCAGTAAACCATCCATCTTATATTCAGAAATATGAATCTCATGTGACTGACGAGCACATACAGCACAAATTGAAGGTGAATGCCACTGAGTATGAGTGTAATAATTGTTCAGACAGTTAAGAATCACATCGTGAGGAACAAGTTGTGGCCATGCATCAATATATGCTTTTGTCTCTGCACTGTCCTGTTCAATTTCTAACACCTTTTTAACTCTACGCTGCTCTTTCTTTGCATCACTGTTTGTATGAGACTCCATGTTTAATTTATCAAAAATCTCAGATGGAACACTTGACTTTAGTAGCTTGAAAATCAGTTCACTACGAGAACTACATAACTCACTCTGAGATAAGAATGGTAAATGACACAAGATAGTATTCAAAAACTTTGAAGATTCAACTTTGAATAAGTACTGGGACAACTCAACAATATGCTCAACTATAACTGTGCAACGTGCATGACGTTTTACCGGCAATTGGTTTGTAAACGTAATACCATAGTTATAAAGTGTTCGCATTAACACAGATGACAAACGGTGAATGAGAACACTAGCTGGAGTGACAAACCAGGGTAATTCTATACATAATTCTACAGGCGGTATGGCATATCCAATTAATGGATGTTCCTCAAAAAGTGGAGAGTTCGCAGAACGTATTGCTAGTGCTACAGGTTCACCATACAATTTAATATACAGAGCACTGAGCAGAGCATACCGAGATTTGAGAAGTTGATCATCACCATGCAGACACTTTGCTACATCTTCATTGGACATGATAGCAACAGATGCACGACTCAATTGAAAGTCAACAAGAAGTCTTCTGCAAATCTCAGACTTGTTACGATCTTTCTGAGGTATTAAACAGTGAGATGACACAGCTGCAGACTGCAGAGTATGAAGACTTAACCTTTGGAGTGTACGCAAATACTGTTCATCAGACAAATAGAACCATGAGGGATTGAAATCTGCCATGGCTAAAGTCAATCGCTTACGCTACTTCAGTCCGAAGATTTAAAGGTGTTTCAACACAAATCCTTAGTGTACTTGAACAGCGTGCTTGAAGACAAATACTTAATGTGCTTGAACACAAAATATTTAACGTGCTTGAACACGAAATGTTTAACGTGCTTGAACACGAAATGTTTAACGTGCTTAGACACGAACTCAATCAAAACAGCACTGTGAAACTGTGAACACAGTATCACAAATAGCAACTGCATTGTGCAAATTAAACTGTAAGTATCCATTTGAACAAGTCAACAAGCATAGACGCACCTATTTTGCAGCTACACTTGTCCGAAACAGTCGCAAAAAACGCGAAAACTATGTCTTCAAGAGAGCAGGTCCGCGTAGATTCTACATGGTTTAGTGGTGAATCAGTAGATTAGTAATAATCCGAGAAGAAGAATACACTCACGTGCAAAACAGAATGATGTCGTATAGCGACTCATCGAGGAGCGACACTGAGGTGTAACGTCGTCCAGCAGCGCCAACATCGTCGAGAAATCGAGCGCGCATGTGATGTTTGCGAGCGCCATCCTACGTGAATAGACCTGCGCTGGAACACCGTCGGCAGGTCGAGCGCAAGGGCGGAATGTTCGCGAGCGCGATCTTACATAAATAGACCTGCACTCGAACAGTGTCGACAGGTCCAGTGCAACAGCGACATTCGCGACCGGAACCCTAGACGGAGTCAAGACTCAAATCGTAAGTGTTATTACTCAACTTATTTACTGATGTTGTTTTCGCACAACTTCATTCGCAGAGGCGTCTGCCGTTTCCCCTTGCCAAAGCCCTCCTCCAGTTCCTGGAGTCGGGGATAGAGCCGCTCTAGCAATGTCCCAAAACAGCGCAGAGATTATCGCACACCTGTCACGTGATGAAAAGACCGTTGGCCCAGAGCCTCTAACCCTAGCTTAGGTGCCCGAGCCTCAACCGAGCCCTGACCGACATCTTCATTGGGAAGGGGCGTGATTTGCCGAGCAACCGATTGGCTAATTCCACATCAGTCTCGGTCTGTCGTGACCAGTCTCGACTTCAACACGTGAGCGGCAAATCCCCGGCAACATGGGATCTCATCTTATCTGTAGCCATATTGGGCATTCTGGAGTCCCATTTAACTTTTGGCGGGCAGAGGATTCTACAGCGGCCGGATTATCGGGATCCCGAACAGGGCCTAAGCTTTTAATGTTCTTCCGATCCTCTCAGAAATAAAACTGCTGAACAGTGGTCGCAAATCTTTCAGATTTAGTTATTGGTAGGCATGTTCAAATTCAAACTACTATTCTCAAATTTCAAATCATGTGGGCACTACAAGCTTAAGAGTAACGACCTAGCATTATCAACTTGCATGCACTTGGTTAGTCAATTATGTAGTACCTTCCATAGAGATAGCGACTCACAACTCCATATCGTATGTTCACTTCAGGTGAGTACGAAGACCTCCGCAGAGTTGGACCTGACGGAGTCGTTACGAGATGCTTTGAACGCGTATATGCCGGGTATTGTGATATTGAATACGACTTGGCCATCTGCATCCGACACCGCTTTCATCCCACCGTTCGTCTGCGTGACCGCTGCCCCAGGGATCGTAACACCTGTCCTCCCATCCGTCACAAGAAGCGCCACAGGCCCAGCCGACAGTACATCGGCTGAGCCGTGCACTGCCAGCTCGAGGAAGTGGGTAACGCCAAAGGCATTATACGCAAATAGAACATTGTCGTTGAATGCGACCTCTTGTTGGCACCCGCCGACGGGGATTAAAGCATAATTGAGAAGAATGCCCCAAAATTCCGTCGTGGTCTGCGCGGAAGATGCAATGCGCGTGATGGAGTAATCATCGTACTTCACGTTGTACGTGCTGGTATATAGACAGAGCTAAGGGAGTCTACTCGGCGGGTAAAAAGAAGCGGTTACTCACCCATCCCATGTGAACCCAGCAAATTGAGAAGCGTTGTCGAGAGCACTCGTGCATGTAGGCCCTGGAAACGGGTTTGCATTATTATTTGTACCGTCGCAGTGATGCGTTCCGCCTGAAGCTGTTGTAACGTTGTGACCAACGGTGACGATAGGTCCCTCATAGATCGTGCTATTCGCCCCTTCAACGCGCAAATTCACCACTGTTCCGTTGTTGGAGGCAGCAGTACAATGGGCGAGCATGCTGACCTCCGCCAGCACGGAGATGAGTGAAGGGATGCTCAGGACAGACTTGGGTCTCATCGCATCCAAAGAGTACGAGGAGGATTCACCGCGTAATAGCACAAGTACCGCCACATTGATAACTGAGACTATATAGGCACACGGCGATGACAGACGCAATGAAGCGATGACAGACGCAATGAAGCGAAGACAGATGCAATGAAATACAGATTGTGCGACGTCCAAGGAGATGTCTAGTCGAGTCTTGCCAGGGACAACTTCCACATAGTCACCGCAAGTAATTCCGATGCAAGGGGTCCAGACAATAGTGTTGTAACGACACTTGAAGGTCCTAAAACCTCGGTAACAATATTTGCCTAAGGTGACGTAATCAGATAACTACAGCCTCAACAACTGCTTCCTCTTCTTTTAGTCATGTTCCCCTCTCAGGCCGCCGATTAGATATTTCAATCCTTCTTTCCTGTAATTCAATCAATCCAACCTACCCGACCACAATCTGTCGATTGGTGCTGAACGAAGATTGCGCTCAATGCCCCCTTCCGCAGCATCTCCTACTCCTCCTGCTAGCAAGCCGCAGAGCTCATCCGAGAAACTCAACGCATTTCGACGAGTCGAAGACGATGAAGTTAAGCCGTACGTTATTGTGAGTGACCTCGGAAAGGGCAGCTTCGCTACTGTCTACCGCGGTTATCATGAGGTGAGTTGAAAATGTCTCACGTCGTGCATGTTTCTCACTGGCATATGAAGCAAACACATCAGCAAGTCGCTATAAAGACCGTGAACAGGAGCACATTGAGCCCCAAGCTCTTCGATAACCTGCAAGGAGAAATCGAGATTCTGAAAGCATTATCTCACAGACATATAACCAGACTGTTGGACATCGTGGTAAGTCGTCCTTCAGCCTGTCACTCTCTACTCGCCAACATTCCTTTCAGCGAGCCGAGAGGAATATTTATCTCATAATAGAGTTCTGCGCTGGCGGCGATCTCGCCAATTACATGAAGAAGCGCGGGCGAGTGGAAGGCCTTGAATATGTGCCATCCCCCGGTGCGGCGCCGACGTACTACCCACATCCGAGGACGGGTGGTCTGGATGAGATCGTCGTCCGTAGCTTCCTCCGCCAACTCGGTAAGTGTCACCCGTTCACGAGGGGACTCATATTCTGACTCTTGAGACTTGCAGCTCGCGCAATCAAGTTCCTGCGCCAACGTAATCTCATCCATCGTGACATAAAGCCTCAGGTGAGCTCCGCCACTGTGTAGCTTCGTACACTAACGTTCCCCAGAATCTGTTGCTGAATCCTGCGTCTTCCGACGACTTGGCAAGAGGTCACCCGCTCGGGGTCCCGATCCTGAAGGTCGCGGATTTCGGTTTCGCACGGTCACTGCCTTCCGCGACTATGGCAGAAACGCTATGCGGTTCACCGTGAGTGTGTTTGCGCACATGCATGCTCACGCGCACTTACATCGAAACAGGCTATACATGGCCCCAGAAGTCCTGCGGGGTGAGAAGTATGACGCGAAAGCGGATCTGTGGTCGGTGGGCGCGGTGCTGTACGAGATGGCAGTGGGAAGGCCACCATTCCGAGCGTCCAACCACATCGAGCTGCTGAAGAAGATTGACCTCTCCAAAGGGATCAAGTTCCCGGATGAGGATCCGCAGGCACAAGCTCGCGCAGCGGCAGGCGGAGAGGAGCTGAAGCCGGTCCCAAGCGACGTGAAGAAGCTAATTCGCTGCCTGCTGAAGCGTATGCCTGCAGAGCGATCCAGCTTCGAGGACTTTTTTGGCAGCACAGCAATGGCGAAGTCGAAGTTCCCCAGGCCGCAGCGACCCCCATCGCCCACATGGCCCGACGACGAGTACACGAACGGAGGGCAACTGGCGATCCCCGAACACCACTTAGTGATCCCACCCGAGGTGCTCGACCCGAAAGCGATGATCCCACCCAGCAAGTTCAACTTCAGGAGACGGGAGTTGGGGAGCAATACTCCGCAAGAGTTGCCGCAGGACAGGTGCGTCTCTTATCTAGTAGGTGGCTTACTCGAGCAGGCGGATAATACACCCGCCAGCCCGACGTATCCCGCTACGGGTGTTTCTGAAGTGTTGAGATCACCGACGGTTCCTCTGCTTGTGGATCCATCTCTACATACTAGGCGTTTGTCCACCGAAGTGTCAGTCATTCCTGGTGAGACAGAAGAAGATGGCCTGCTACGGCGGGAATATGTGCTCGTTGGTGACAAGAAGGCTGTTGAGTTGATCCAAGCGGTAGACGGTAAGGCTCTTACATACGGCCACACCACTGCCAGAGCCTGTGACCCTACTTCTGCAGAGATTAACGTCGCACGCCGGCGTCCACTTCGTGACAATAGACGGGTGCCACCACCCCCTCTGAAGGAGACTCCCGCGGCTGAGTTCCCTGTTTTCGAGTCTCCCGCTCCATCGAGCGCCAACACTACGTTTCCTCCCGCTCCAAACCCAAATGCCCCTCCGTTGTCATCGTCGCCCTCCAGCATCAATTCGCGGACCGGTTCGAACGCGCTCACGCGGGCGCTCAGTCTTGCTTCGAGGAAGTTGTTTGGTTCACCATCTTCAGCGCGATCGTCGCCTTACTACCGCGAGTATACCTCATCATCTCCGAGACGCCAGCAGATCATCTCGGGTCGTGGGCTGGGTTTACAAATGGGAGGTCAGCGGGATCCACTTGAAGACGAGCTGTTGGCTTCACTTGAGGAGCTCGCACAGAAGACGGAAGTGTTGACACATTGGGCGGACGAGATGTACGAATACGTCAAGGCTGTGCCGCAGAGTAAGCGTTATGGAAAGTTTCGTACTTATGAACGATTTTGACGCTCTAGTGTTGCAGAACCCCTTCCGGATCCCACGAAGTTCATCAGACGAGAAGGCGAACCGGAACGGAAGGCTGAGAAACGGAAGAACGCCGACATCGAAGCAGAATATAACGCGATGGCTTGCGTTGCACTGTACATGTTACTGATGTCCTTCTCCCAGAAGGGCGTCAGCAAATTGTGCAACTATTACGAGCACATGCAAATGCGCGATCCGGACGGGGAGATGGAGGTCAGCGAAGGCTTTGACGAAGGTATGTCTTCATGTGTGGTAGTGTAGATGCATACTCGGCGGGATTGCTGATGGCATTTCAAAGCGTTGACTTGGTTTGAGGAGCATTTCAACAAATGCCATGAACGTGCGGCGCTTGTCAAGACTTGGCTTCCAGCTCAGTACACCGGGCCTCCCACGTTCCTCGATCAGCTCGTATACGATCACGCTCTTATGCTGGTAAGCGCCTATCATTCATAGCAAACGATCTCATGCCCATTCTACTTTAGAGCCGAACAGCTGCTCGGAAAGAACTTCTAGATCAAGCAACGTCTCCCGACCAATGCGAGAAGCTATACGAGGAATCTCTCTGGTGTCTGTATGCCCTGCAGGATGACCTTCTGCAGAAAGACAATCCGTTCATGGACGAGGACCGCGAAACGATATGTACCTGTGCGTAGCAAACAAATGGCGTGCCCGCGTACGTGGCGGACTGACATAGATGTACAGGGATCAAGCGTACGAAGCTCCGCCTCGTGCGTTGCCGTGTCAGGATGGGCATGAATGATCGTGATCGCCTCAAGGATGCCCGTCTGGACAAGAACCTGGACGACGTCCACCGAGACCCTGCACCCTGGGATGTCCCTGTCCTAGAACGTCGTGACTCTGGCTCACAACCTCTCCCGCAACATCCTTGACTGTTACCCCCGCATTTTCATATCTCCGTTAGATGCCTCATTGTATTATTCACATATTATGGGTGGCCTTGTTGACGATTCTTACCATGTTGTCGTTGTTTTCTTTGGGCCCCTCTCATGGATCCTATAATGCCGAACTGCGATGGACAGTTACTGCGACTCGTCGTTCCCTTCTATGTATGTACATCACATTTGTACCACTGTGTATTCCCTGCACGTCCTACTCTCTTGTATACTGCTTGTAGTATTTTTACCTGCTTCTCTCTTATTCGTATCGCTGTAATATACCGAGGGTGTTTATTGGCCAATCTTATCTCAGAACTGGAAGCTCTGGTTGAGATCATCGTATAAGTGCTCTCGCATGCCGGCGGGTAATATCGGTTCGTTGCCATTGGCGATGTACCCTGCACGCATTGTGAAGGTGGAGGGTGACCGCATATGGTAGAGGAGGAAAGCTGCTCACGGAACGGCATCTCGACGCTTTCTTTTGCATTGAAGACGATATTTGGATAATCCTGGGTCATTCGTCGGCTGTCAGCGTCACGCACCCTCTCTAAAAGTACGCACGATGAAAGGAATTTTAGACAGCGAGACTACGTGTGCATATTAGATCAGGGCTGAGTCTCGCCTCGCTGTCGCTCACCTTTGTCTTGCACCACTATCTTCGTCACGCCGAGAGCGGTATCAGTTGTCATTTGCACCGGACCGAGGTGTCGTGTGGGAAATCCCAACGCACGCAGTTCAGATGTTCTGTCTCGGGGTGGATCGTCGCCTGTGTTTTCAGGATCAGACCAACACGGAATCGACTAGTAGGTACATACCGAGGATGCCCTGCAACATTCAGATGCGTTATTCAGTCTCACAATATATACAAGTCGGAGGCCACTCTGGATACTGCACAAATGCAAGCTGAACTCACCCCGAACAAGAACCAGGAGAATCGACCATCTCCGTCTTCAGGAGACAGCTCTTTCTCTGCCTTGGGGTCCAGAAGGCAAACTTTAATGAGAGGTATGTCGTTCGCTTTCATCAGCTCCATGACTGACACCTGATGAGAAGATGCCTGGGCTGACTCTGAGCTTTCTGTCGGTGTTCCTCGGTCAAATAGTGACGAAAGCGAGGGGCAAGACGACTGGGACAAGTGCGTGAAATGGACATGGGCTCCAGGGCCTGCTAAAGAGCGCATGTGCTTCGAGAGACTTCGCAAACAGGTCACAAAATGGTTATAGAATATGCATGCTTACCATGTATTCTAACTCGACCCACTTCGGGATCGATTTGGAGGTGTCCTCGTCCTCTTCCATGTGTTCTGCCGTGTCCTAATCAGACGCATGCGCGTGTACACGAGGTCAGTCTTTCTTACCAATGACATAGGTGAAACCCATTGGACCACAGTAGAAGTGAGGTCTGACATCAGGACTTTTAGAATGAACGAACAGAAACTACTTCATGGAACTCACAGCTGGGGTACTCGCAGTGGATGTCGTCGCGAGAGTACATACAAAGTTAACGAAAGAGCGTCCCATTATGCTTAGTTGCGCACTACCGTCCCGCTCAACGTCAATATCTAGGATGGGACACTTTATCTACTGCCCCAAGAATGTGAACATACATCAGGCAGTCATTTATTTCTCCAAGTTTGTTTGCGAGATCTTAGAGGTCTAACAGTCCGAGTCAATGACCACGTTCCACGACCTCGCCCTAACTTCACGTTATGTTCTGTCGAATTCAGCGAATTTAGAACGCATACGACTATAGCTAGGAATATTCACAATATTTCACAATCTCACATGGTGTAGAAGCCACAACGATGGAAAAGGGAAGATGACATAAGCATAAGGTGAGAAAACTTCATCGCTGACTGTACAGTTGTTGCATCTGCCCTCCCGTATCGACGACCTACACGCTCAGCAAGCAAACATGGGAAAAGGTGATTGTTTTCTGCAGGATATTGATTGTCTTTGTGCAGCCTTACTGATGGTGGTGTCGCAGTTCACGGCTCTCTCGCTCGTGCCGGCAAAGTCAAGTCACAGACACCCAAGGTCGACAAGCAGGAGAAGAAGAAGACTCCCAAAGGTCGTGCCAAGAAGCGGATACTCTACAACCGCAGGCACGTAGACTATGTTGCTGAACAATCACTTGTATCTTGACTCAGTTCTACAGATTCGTTAACGTTACAACTCTCCCTGGTGGCAAGCGGAGAATGTGAGTGACCACTTTGGTTCTAAGTTTTCCATGTTCCGCGTGCTTTCACTTTGCCCGCCTACGGATGATACAACCAACCAATGCATAGTTCACACTGAATCACTTCTGTTGAGAACCATTCATCTTGTCTTTCGCTCCTATCTGATCCTTAAACCAACTCGTTATCCTTGCTGCGGGCATGTTCTGACTGGTCATCACTCTTGCAGGAACCCCAACCCCGAGAAGTAAAATTGCCCTCTGGGGGTTGATCGCGACGCAGCAGGCGTCATCGTCGGGTCTGCTGCCCTTCTGTATCCGCTACGGAACGCGTCCTGGAGTGTCATTGATGGAGTTGAGACGCGCATTGGCTGTATCATTCTTATTCCCACTGCACCTTATGTTCATCAGTTCATGCATAGTATGCCCATCTACAACACGATCATGATTTGAGGGCAATCGCCTTTCTGACCGCTATTCGTCGAGTTTTGTCAGAGAGGTGTCGCCGAGGACGGACTACGTCCAATTGCATGGCAGATACAGGTAAGTATTGGGGGGAATAGACTGCTCTACAAGGGAAGCTCGTAGTCGCTAGTACCCAACAGCGACGTGACGTGCCTGCTTTCCAAATATCCGTACTCAGATAAATGCTGACGGCGATACAAACATCAGTGGATCACAGTAGCTAGTGTGCTCATGAAGGAGGTATGGTCATTTGGTGGAGATGCACCCTTCACGTTGAGGTATGCTGTCCGCAAACGCTCCGTGGAGAGCTCGTCCAAGTTCGCGAGTTTCGCAGTGGTCGGAGCAGGCGTTTGTGATGCCGACGATGATGAATGGCGTGGCTCGGTGATCAATCGATGAGTGCACTGAGCGGTCGATCCGCAAGGTGAATTGATATGCACGGCGAAGACGCGAACATACGCACCAACTTGACGCCGTACCATGCTCGCAGAGTCAGACTCACTGGTATCGAGTCCTGTGGGACGCCTTCCTCATCGTCTGTCATGTCGACAGCCACGAGGAACATTTTGAGGGAGAGCGTGATATCCCCGGCCAAGTATGCAGTCTCCGCGAATTGCAGGAAACAGAAGGGGTTCTGGGGGGACAGGAGGAGGGCATGCGATAGCGACTGAAGTGCATATGTGTACCTACATAAAGACAAAGAATTAGATGCATGGATAAGTATCTATTAAGAGATGAGTGCGTACTGTTGACATGACGCATACGTATCTGCGAGCTCAAGCCAGCCCTCCACGTCGGTGTAAAACGTGTCCAGCATTGCTGAGAGCTCTTCCACTGCACGGTCAATCTTTCCCATGCGCCGCAGGACATAGGCTTTCCTCCTCCAAATAGCCTGCAGTGACCAACCACACCATGAGTCTGTCGGGGTGCATTCATATCAACGTATGACGCGTACCGCCCTCGTCGAGTCCTCCTGCAACAACTCGTCGTAGTACTTCAGTGCAACTTCTGGAGGCTCTGTCACTTCCATTCTAATACCTTGGAGGAGATCAACGCGGGGGGATTGAGGGAACTTGTTGGAGATGCGTTGCAGACATTGCTATGCATAATCAAACGACTTCTGTAAATATCGGGCCTCAGACAGGAACAATTCGCTCACGTCTGCGACCTTGAGCTCAGTCTGGTCAAACGCAGCTAATGTCAGCCTCTCCAGAGCATCCCAACCTGACGATGATGTGTTCAGCATGTCAACAGTCCTCCGCTGGGAAGCGTTGCATCTACTAACCTGCCTCGCCCTGTTTCGCAAATGCATCGGTTCGAAGTAACACGACGCCCTTCTCGAATGTCTCTCGAGACTTCTTCGTCTGTTGGGGGCGATAGCTGGCGAGTTTCTGGAGAGAGGTTGTGAGGTCCATGGTGCACGCTGTAACGGCCGTTGCAGCGGGCGTCACATGCTTCCTCTCTCCCACTTTCTGCGATGCACCCGGGCCCGACGATGTTCTCATCTCCTCTCTCACACCGCCGTCCAGTCAAAATTTGCCAACCCAATAGCCGTTCTATCACTTAGAGTGAACATGGGCGTGAAGTTCTCGAGGTAGCGGAACATTTTCACCAGTTGGAATGGTGTATTCTAACAAGCGAACCTAGCCATACTTTCCCTCACAATACAAGTAATGATTCTCGCTCTTCAACCCTAATAGCGACTGTCGGAGATGCAATACGCATAAAGGATCTGACCCTGATGGTCCGTTTCATAGATGGTGCCCAATGGCCTTCGGGAACGACCTTACAGCCTGTGCTAGTCTCTCTGACAATGGCGCACGACCTCCACCAGGCTGCGGAAAACGATGATCTCTCTCACTCTATTGACTACTCGTCGGTCTTATCCTCCCTGGCTAGTTCATGTGCTGCCCCCTCTTCGTCGCTGGAAGTGCTGTCTGAACGCATTTGCGACACTTGCTTTACGTCCTATCCAGAGCTCGGGGAGCTGTATGTCAGTATCTCGCGCCCGAAGGCACTTCTGCATGCTCGTGCGACGAGGATCGTGTCCGAGTGGAGGAGGTCCCATCATGACCCCGTGCATGAAAAGTTCTTCATAGAGGAGCTCGATTGTCAGGCCATTGTGGGCGTTAATCCTTGCGAGCGAGAAGAGAAGCAACGCGTTCGCTTCAATATAATGCTGGATAGACACAAACGCCGTGCCCAATTTGATTTCCACGAAGTTGCGCGGAAAGTATTCGAAGTACGTAGTTTATCGTATTCGCAGACTAGCATTCACAGTGCCCTTATACAGAATGTTCAATCATCCTCCCATCTGACGCTTGAGGCTCTTGCTTCTTTGACTGCGCGCACCGTGTTGTTGCATACCGGCACCATTTCTGACCGCGTTACAGTCCGGGCGGCTAAACCGAGCGCGTTAGTTCTTGCAGAGGCAGCGGAGGTGGAGATCACTCGCACTCTGCGGGATTACGAGCCATCCTCTGCTTCGACGTTGAAGCAAACGCATGAAAATAATGTCACCCACGCACCGGCATCTCCGACGCCGAGTCTGTTTTCGCTTTTGGCTGCACTTCCTGAACGATCTGGTCATGATGAGACTGTGTACGCGCATAGGGCAGCAATCGCGCTTGGTGCTAACCTTGGAGATCGCTTCGCGAATATCGAGCTTGCACTGCGCTTGCTGGAGATGCCCGATGGAACCGGGCGACCGCGCGCTGCGGTGGTTGACACCAGCTTCTTGTATGAGACCGCGCCAATGTATGTCACAGACCAGCCTCAATTTATAAATGGTGCTTGTATGGTCCGTGTCTCCGCGTTGTGCTGGAGGACAGCGATTCATGGCATGCACTTTGCAGATTGAGACCGATATGAATCCCCGCTCACTCCTCGCTTTCCTGAAGGATATCGAGGCAACCGTCGGCCGTGTCTCATCTTTCAGGAATGGGCCGCGTGCTATTGATCTGGACATCCTGACGTTCGATGCAATGACTGTCGACACGAGACCTGAGTCAAAGAAGGACAAGCTTGATAACCTCACCGGCGAGCTTGTGGTGCCTCATCCTCGGATCGCGGAGAGAGAGTTCGTACTGAGGCCCTTGAGCGAGTGCGTTCAATCGTATCGGAGAAATTTGATTCGACACTGACCGACTCGTTTAGTATGATCCCAGACTATGTCCATCCTGTCCTTGGCAAGCCAGTGCGCACTCTCCTCTTGGAGCTCGTTGCCAAGCAATCGACGGACACTCCCGCCATGAGTAAGGTTGTGCCCTTCCCTCGCTACCCGTACATTTCACCGTCTATAGCCACGGTGACACCGGGCATTCCGTCGGTCCCACCGACGGCGACCTACTGGACGTTCCCTGTATACTCTTCAACTTCATCTAGACGCCCTCTGCAAAAGAGCTACGTCATGGGCACGCTCAACGCAACCCCAGACTCCTTCTCTGACGGGTCAAGGCACAACACTACCCCTGCGGCTGTGGCATATGCAACTGCATCCGTTGCCGGAGGCGCAGATATTATTGATGTAGGTGGATACTCGACTCGCCCAGGCGCTGCGTATGTTTCACCGGACGAAGAAATATCACGAGTTATCCCGGTCGTCGAAGCCATACGAGGCCTTTCCAGCGAGCAGAACACGGTATCAGCAGATGCGAGATTGAGTGCCCGGACAGCAGACGTGCCCATCAGCGTAGACACCTTCCGTTGGGAGGTCGCCGATGCTGCTGTGCGCGCGGGAGCAAGCTGCATTAACGACGTATACGCGTTCACAGGGCCCGCGTACCCGTTGGACATGTCCGCCGCAGAATATTTCCTCAAGTTTCGGGAGATTGCACGCGAATTAGCCGTTCCTGTCGTGCTCATGCACTCTCGCGGAGACGCCGCTTCGAACAAGGACTACTCCGCGTACTCGTACGCTGCAGACTCCCGGGGGAGAGGTGCCGTCTTAGAAGGCGTTCGGGTGGAGCTAGGCGAGAAGGTCGAGGCTGCCGTGCGCGGCCGCGGCGGCTTACGGCGCTGGCTTGTCATCGTGGATCCTGGCGTCGGCTTCAGTAAGACGCTCGAGGGCAACCTCGAAGTCCTCCGCGCATCATCAGAAATTACCGCAGCACACCCGCACCGCCGCAATCCCCTCGCTGGCTTCCCGCAGCTGATCGGCACGTCGAGGAAGTCGTTTCTCGGCACCATTCTCGCGCAGCCCGACACTGGCGGCGCGTACGAGGGGCGGAAGACGAGACCGGATGAGCGTGGGTGGGCGACTGCCGCTGCGGTCAGCTGTGCGGTGCAGCAGGGTGCGGAGGTCATCAGGGTGCACGACGTCCTGGAGATGGGGGACGCTATCAGGGTCGCACAAGCGTTGTGGAATTGATACAGGATCAAGCTCCATTCCTGTCTCTCACTTCAACTGTGGACCTCGCATTGTGATCCACGCTCTGCTTCAACTGCAGACCCCTCCGTTACTTATCCGAGGGGATAATCCTTCCACGTGGACTTGGCAAAATTGTGCCACATGGTGAACGTTTGCTCGAAAGCCCGGTGGATATGAGCGGCTGTTTGGCAAAGCCACCTCACAGGCATCAAGGGCGTTGGCAACTATATGGCCTCACATTCCGATGACCACCCTGTATCAGGAAAGTCTTCCAATGGAGAACGAGTAGCTACAATCAACGTCCACTCTCTCCATGTTGGCTGGTGTCACTAAATATATCTAGTCCCAGCCACCCGTCAATGGAGAATATAAATTGATAAAAATAAAACAGTTTGAGTAGAAGAGGAGGACGCACTATGTGATGAATTCAGGTAATAAAAGGGGGCTGGACAAACCTGAGCATCTTACGACGCACAGTCCGAAAGCCAGCCAGAATCTCTGAGTCGGGTCTCTGACCCGGACAAAGCGCTGTCAGAGGCACCGTCAGGGAAGTCGAAATTTCTTGGAGGACTTCTGCGTCAACGGCGTTCCTCCCATCTCGCATATGGGCAGCTGCCCACGGAGAGCCCGGCAGCGCCCATGTTGCGTCTGGTCTGCCATTGGATCCGCTCGTCAACCAAGTCATTCCAAATTCTTTGTTGTACGCGTCAATCCACGTCTGCAGCACAAGCAGCTCCACTTGCTGCATCCGATGGCGTACTGCTTTGAACGTGCGGCAGCAAGCGGGCGGTAAGGTCCAAATGCAGATGGCGATGAGGACGATAGTGCGCTGAAGCGAAGGATAATCCGCAGCTCGGCGTGGATACACGCGTTGACCGTTCGCTGCTGTTCGCAATTGCTGTGCATGTCGGGGAATTTTTCTGAGAGTATACGCACCGTCTCCGGGGCGAGGGGATCTCCCGATTGAAATCCACGTTGCAGCGCATGCGAATAGTCTCCGCAAAGATTGATTTGGCCCTCTCCTGTGCCAACGAAGGGATCATCTACCCAGCGGTAAGGAATCTGTCCACCTGGAAACTGTCTCTTTGCTTTGCTCATGAGGTGTGTAACGCCATTGACGTATTGGCAGACATGGACCAACGCCGCTTCAACGTGTACGCCCTCATCCTGTGCCCCCAGTTCGCGAAAGCGGCATCATCACAAAGCTGCTTCAAGAATCAATAGTATAGGAACGGCTTTGGAAAATTGGAAAGCCCGATGTAGATGTGCGTGGAAAATTCACCTCCCCTAGCTGGAAGGCCGACAATGCCTGGAGCTTGTCAATGATATCGCCGAGCATAGTGCGGAATGAAGGCTCCCCATTCGGGTATTGGTCGCTGCGAAGATCCGTCGAGTTGGGACACTCTTTCGTAATAGACATCGTCTTGTACAGCGACAGTGCCGATCTGAAGTCCTCGAGCAAAGCGGGCTCGGCGATGTATTTGTGCAGGTTAAGTAGTCGCCGATTCATGTTTGCCCGGTAGCGCAAAAGCAGGATAGCAAAAAATTCAACCGCATCGTCATTCTCTGGATCGGTGATGAAGCGCTGTGCAGCATGCTCGTCCTCTAGAGTGGGAGGGGCATTTTTTGCCAGAACGATGCTGGGACGCTCACGTCGGTCGAACGCAGCTGCAACAGCATCATCGGGCTCTCGAGTGGTTAGTGATAGGGCGACGATGACAAGGATCTCAAGAGTGTCAGCTTTGATCAAGCTTTGATATCCAATTCGCGGTCTCTGTTGTGTTGGAACCTATCCATTGTATACGGCATGTGGGGATCCGTGTAGCCCAGTTCGTACAAAAGCTGCAGCTGCTCGGAAATCGTCCTTTGGTCAGAGAAGGTATTGGAAGCCATGGTTCACGAAGAATGAGAGAGGTGAGGTGGGGAGATGAGCGCACCAAGCAACGATGACGACTGTGGTGGCAATGAGTGACTCATATGCCATCGACCTGCAGCTGTACAGACTCCGAGTCCGTGTGATAAACCTATTATCGACTTGAAAATGCGCAGAGAGCTTGCACTGCAGCCATGTAACTGGGCTTGCCTCGCTGAGATGCTCGAATTGTTTTCTCCTTCTCTTCTACTATCGGTGTTGAAGTGACGTTGAATATTGAATAGTCCTTTGTAATAGAGGCTGAGATCATTATCGATGACAATGTCACCCGTGGGAAACCGGACTTTGAACGATGCCGACGGCAATTCGACGCACGAATCTTTAGCGCTCAAGTCGCGTGCAGCCACAGGCGCGTCTTACCTGTGTACAAGCTTCGCGTGCTGTAAAAGTTCTCATGGCGACAGTTCCACCTACTGACGACATCCAGGGTGATGGCGACATATTCGGATCTGTACAGATGGGCCCTCAGGTACTCAGCCGATCCTTCATATCTCAGCCTGCCGGTGGCTATCCGTATCATTTTATGCATAACCGTCGTCTTCCCCTGGCCCGGCGCGATGGCGAGGAACAGATTCTTGCCGCGGATGAGGTCCATGCCATGGCATAGCTGGAAATCGCGAACTGAGGGAACTCCGCACTTCTGAACGATCAGCGACTAGAGCCATTCTGAGGAGCCTTCTGCAGGGACATAGAGAATGGCGTGGATTACAGCTACGTAGCATACATACAGAGTTGACGCGACTGACATCTCTGCCACCGACGCGTTTTGGGAATAATCATAGTTTATTGCCGATGACGCAGCCGTCCCTTCCGCTGTCTGGCACGTAGCTCAAAAACTCCCACGGGGGACTTCTCAGTGGGCTCCCGGATAATGATCCTGGACTAGCTCGCACGTACGTACCCCGGTCCGAGTGCGCATGCCACCGCACAGCGATATGCTCACAAGCACCGCAGCCACATAGCCCTCGCCCACCACTCTCCCTAAGTACTTACCACTCTCCCCCCACGCACTTCCACTCATTCCGCGTGACCACTGGTGGCACTTGCCTCGTCCTGTGAGTCGCCGCCTATCCACCTAACTTGCTTATCCTCCCCACCCACAGCCACTGCACGCCATCTCGATGGCGCGAGATACGGTCGGCCCTGGCGTGAGCGCGACGCTCCTCGACTTCGCCGCGCTTATCTGCCCGCGGTGTTCTGGCTTATCCAGCCCTCCCCATCCTGTGCGACGGGCGTCCGCACATGACCAACCGCAATGCGCGCAGAACGCGACACCACCTAAGCGTTAGCGTACGTTCCTTTAACGAAGTTAGGTTAGGAAGTGCTCTTTCCCATCTCCCCGGTCCACGCGTCTAGCACCACGCTGCCAAGCAGAAAGGCCTCCGTCGCGCACCTTGGCACGCACGACCTCCTCTGACGTTGCTACGAGTACACATACGCGCCCAGGGGAACGGGCGTGCACGTCTGGCGTCGGTCGCGCTCGGGCTGCACACGTTGTGCCCATCAATTATGCATATGTGCATACCATCCCATCCATGTGCATACCATAGCCGCTGGCGGGAGCAGACACCTGATGGCTTCGCTGACTGTATCAAGCCTTTGCGTGCGCATCGATACAGCGTGAACGATGTGTCGGTAGCAACTCGTTGCATCCACTCGCGGAGTTTTCGCTCCGTAATTATCTGCGCCATACGCCCGACTCTCGGTACTACGCAATCTGGTACAAGACGCCCTATTTCAATTGGGCACGTACCTGCAGCTTGCAGCCGAGGAGCGTTCATTTATTGCGACAGACGGTCCCCATGGCGCTAATTACCGGTCTCGGGATCGCGTTCATGGTCATCGACGTGCATGCTGCACATACCGTGGTTGCTGGTGCACATCCGTCGAGTGCGACCGTGTATGGTGGGACTTTTTCCCGGCTCGGAGATGATGTATCCGGTATGGAGACACCGCAACTAGGTGTGGAATTCGGGCGTATTCATGCTTACGATTGTGATCTAAATATCTCCCAAACGACTTTCTACCACAGAGAACCTTTCAGTACCACTACGTGTATGCAATCCGCACTCGATCGCAAACTCAGCGAGCACGCCCGCATGTTTAGGCTTAGACTCCGCGATACGGTGTTCGGGCCATATTCTCGGCTTTCGGTGCTACGGAAGTACTACGCTACAAGGACTTCCTTCAAGTCGTCACGCATTTGCAAATCAGACTTGATAAGCACTTGCTTACTGCTGACCGTTAACGATGGGGTTCACGTTCATCTCACTCTTTAAGTTTTTGGTTGGCAAGATTCGCCAATTTCTATATTTTTATTCTTTTTTTGGGTTTTGCTAAGGGTGTGTACGTGCCATGAAACTAGAAAGGATGAGTATACAACTAAGAACTGAGGGAGATGGACTCTAAGCATGACCACAATGTGTCCTAAAACCAAACCGAATGCACAGCAAGGACAAAGCAAGGCTACGATAGAGAGCTGCAACACACCGCGACATATGGTTCAACAGCAGAAACAAAGCTGGATAGCATGAATCTTTGGTGCGTGGCCTAGAGGATGATTGCATGTTGACAAAAACATCACGCAAGACGACGCAGTACTCGATACCTACCGGACCGGCGACCACATCCAATCCACTATTAAGCACCTGCGCCTCGGCAATTGTCGCGCATGTGCTTCACCAACACATCACCTCTAGCATACATCTTCAGGCATTTCTCGCACTTCACGGCAGTCGAGCGCAGATGCGTCGACGCTATGTGCCTGCCAAAGCCACTGGCCATGACCTCGCGGTCACATGACTCGCCTCCGCTATGCCACTTGCAAGGCCGTCTCTCCCGTTTCCCGGTACTGGGGAGGTGATAGCGTCTCAGGTGGCGCTGGATACCACCAGGGGACAGGTCCGCCAACGATCTACCGCACCCACCATCCCACTGGCAAACCGCGGACGGGGCGGAATTGTTCGAGGTGATCGGGGAGTCAGATACAAGAGGCAGTGAGCGCATTTCGTTGGAGTCAAAGCCGGGCTATGGCAGACGTGAGGATCATTCAAATACTTGGATCATGAGAGGAGCATACCTGCGTGGACGGCGAGGGCACTCCAGGTAGACCAATGATGGGGAGACACTGGGCTTCGGCATGATGTGCAGCCATCTCAGTAACGTTAGACATCGCATCAGGGCCCAATATCGGATGGTACGGCGCGACTCTCTCTACCGGATCTTGGAGTATGATGTCGCTGGGAACTGGCACACCCATGGAATAGAGAAGAAGCTTCCACAGGGGATCCGCCAGTGTCCAAGGAGCTCCGAGACCTGGCTGTTCGGTACCTACTTGCGATGAGGAAGGGGAGACAATGTGTTGCTGTCGAATGGTCTCTGCCACAGGACCAAGAACGAAGGCGGGGTTGAGAGAGCCGTTGTTGTGCGTGGTGCAGTCAGTGGTACGTATTGCTGGATCTTGAGTGTTTCTTCATGAGGGTCATCCACAGTCAAAAGGGTCATCCCCAGTGAAAAACGCATATTCCAAGAACGAACCAAGACGCACCAGATCGCGGCTTGACTTGGACTATCGCAAGCGGTCGAACCAGATCTCACCTGGTCGAACACATGCGAGACATCCTGTGATTTGACGCGTCGATCCTGTACCATGTCCCGTCTGAATTGCACTTTGCTCGACGTAAGGCCGCCATCTGTCGAATTTTGCCTGCACGCGTGTCTCGATTAGCTATATACTATATGTTGTACTTGTGCCCAGTGTACTTGCACTTATATCATCTGTTTGCACCCACGCCGAGCTCATCATGTGACAGAGACATGGACGCGTCACCGTACTCATGTCGCCACCACGTCTGCGCTCTTGTCCTCCTGCATCCAGTCGCTCTGACCTCCAGAGCACGATGCTTATTATACCGGCCGATTACTCTCACTCAAGCTCATCCAACAGCTCCATGAGAGCACCCACCCCTCGCGTACTAAAGACACCGCTGCGGGCGAAGACGATGCAGTGGTAAGCTCGAGCTTCAAGAAGCCCATCGTCAAGGCACCGCCGAAAGCGTGCACACTGCAAGCTCGAGACACCAATTTTATATGCGGCCGAAGACACCGTCGAGAAGTGGCTCAACAGCCTTCTCTGCCTCAATGTGACGGTCATGCCACGCTCGAGTGCGCACAGCTGCCCGCACCCCGCACAGTGCGAACTGTTCTACATCTCATTCCCTGTCTAATCTCGCAGCAGTTCCGGGAGAACAAGTTTGCACTGCTTTCTGGTGCACGCGTGGTGCGCATTGCGACACATTTGGACTATGTGAATGTGTGTTCGTCTTCCTGACTGTAATCCTCTGATGTGCCCCTATTGACGAGGTACGGCGACAGTTTCTGTGTCAGGCATCCAGGCACCTGAAATGTCCTTAAATTTACTTATCAGATGGTCGAGAGACCCCCTCTGGTGTACTTGCAGCGTTGCTGCTGATTACGGTAGTAAGTACTGCCTACGTGCAAGTGTGGATCATGTTATGCTAATCTTCCGATAAGAAGGCGATCCGATACTATCCACATTCGTTGAGATCCCCATGATCTTTCCATCTGCGCCTTCAATTGGGGGGCACTGACTAGCCCCTCAATCTCAAGCGGCTGGGCGCGGTACGCGTGCCGCATTCCAGGCTCCAAAGCCAAACGAAGACATCCGAGCAGTCCTGTCCGCGCGCCGCATTCGCCGATTCGCGACCCTGGCGCGCACGATAGACATGACCCGCATCGAGAAGTTGAGAAGTGGGGGGATGGGGCAAGTTAGGATGACCAGGTGAGTACAAGGATGTGGATGCGGACACGGCACGTCGACTTCTGGCGCATATACCGGGAAATCCGGGGTCAGAGGATCGATATTTGGGCGCGCGGGCAGGGGGCACATGGACCGAGCGAGGACCGAGCGCACCGAGGCGATCGTCTCGCACTGCGAGAGGTTCGTTTGCGGCGTCCAAAACCCCCCGCCCCCTGTAGCAGGCTCCGCGGTCACACATCTCTCTTCCGACGACCCCGACTAACGAGCTCGCCGGGCCTTTATGCACACTTCGAGCGCGAGAAGCCGTCTGGACGACCTCGACTATCCAGTCAGCCTGAGCGTGAACAGCTGCGCTTGCACCGACTTTGTAGCGGACCTCTCTACCTTATCTCATTCTTTATCTATGCTATGACACATATTCACTAACTCTACTTATATTACAGGTGTTGGGCAGCATCCAGGTGTGAAAACGGGGACGACGGCGAACACAGGGAGTGCGGATGTGTGCGGTTGCGCGCCAGTGCGCGGGTGCGTGCGCGGGCAGGGGGATGGGCGCGCGCGTGCGTGCAGGGGTGCGTAGGTGCAGGGGTGCGTAGGTGCGAGGGCGGGGGTACGGGCAGGAGCGGGGGCGGGGGCGGGAACGGGGGCGGGGGCTCAGGCAGGGGTGGGAGCGGGGGCGGGGGTGTGAGCGGAGCAGGTCGAAGTAGATCGCGCGATGTCGCAGGAGCTCGCACGACGGCGAGGGTGCTCACACGACGTCGAGTGTAGTCACAGTGTATTAAATCACGACAATACAATTATTATACAGCAGCTTAATATTCGACTAGATGCGAAATGCCTCGATTCTCCCGCTTGGCACTGTGCTAGCCTGCAACCACGTTTGATTGGGCTCGCGCAAGATCGCATATAGTCCAAATTTTCGCAGCTGGTCGCAGCTGGTCACAGCCACGACCTCGTGCGACTTGCTGCGATCTCACAATACGCGTTTTCCACTGGGGGTCATCAACTAGAAAACGGGAAACAGCTAAACGTACCCGTTATCTAAGGAAAGAAAGGGCTGGACGCCTCCGAAGAGTGTCCAATCATCCAATGGACGATCCTCCCCAGCGTCAAAGTTGGACATGGCACGTATCGATGGAAGTGAGTATACCATAGTGCGAGAGACGGGGGAGGTTGGCAGAATCGAGCGGCATTCTGCTCTCTTTAAACTACGAAAGGTGGACTAGGGGATGTATATGGATCTACAACCCTGCGACGGCATATACTAGCGCTACTGACCTAGTACTTGGGAAGTGCGCACTGCAAATGACGGTCCAAGTTGCTGCGGCATTCTGGGAGTCTACGCGGGCACCCATCTCGGAGAAGGTGATACGGTTGCCAAGGGAGGACAGGTGATCGGCAGGGAACAGATCGATGACATCACGCGTCGAGCGACTACACCGCCAACTTGGGCAGACAGCGTTTCGATCCCAGCCTTCGGTCCCTCTCTGGCTGTTAGCATGGACCTCAGATGGGTATGTCCGTGATGACAGGGTGACATCCTGTCATCGGATCTCATTCAGACCACATTGCGACTGGTCTCGTACCCCGACGTGAGCGAGTAACGCACCCCACCACCGCCCTCGCTCTGACGTCTGGGGCATTTCAACTGTGACACCCCCCCTTGCTCTTATCAGCCCTAAGCGAGATTATCTGAGCCCGCGCCATCAATCATCCTGCCTTTTCGGGAAGGCACAGAGACTCGATGTCGAGATTCATACTCAACTTTTGGAGGCATTGCCAGCGAGGAGGCCATGTAATCATGCAGAAATATAAAAGTGATGCGATATGAGCTTCCTCGCAAGAGGAATAAGTAGGATTGAGACACCTCTGTGAGAAACCAAGGAAAGTAAGTAGAGTCTGCAGTTAGTTCATGTTTTCTGCGGCCGCAATCCCTCATATAATTCATTAAACTACATGTACGTTGTCAAGATAGTATTTCTATGATAATTACAGAGAATGACTGCTACAACAGTATGTGCATGCGGTGATATCATGGCTCGAAAGTCAGAGGAAGCGTAGAGGAATTGCCGATTTAGGCAGGATGATTGATGGCGCGGGCTCAGATAATCTCGCTTAGGGCTGATAAGAGCAAGGGGGGGTGTCACAGTTGAAATGCCCCAGACGTCAGAGTGAGGGCAGTGGTGGGGTGCGTTACTCGCTCACGTCAGGGTATGAGACCAATTGCGACATCCCAACAGAGACCAGCCAGGTAGCAGCACACGATATCCTGATAACATCTCAGCGTCTACGTAGATCTACAGCTATGAAGTGCACCATGATGCCAGCAAGTTTGTTTTCTGAGTGAGCATGAGGAACGAGCGTGAACACAGAATTTCGTCTATGTTCGGATTAGGCAGTTGTGGCGCGGCGCTTTTCTTGCCTCTCACCAATGCCACGACTGTCGTTCCTCCCGCTGCTCGACATCAGAGCAGCTTAAGCTTTTGTTTTCATTAGACTTTGAAACTTGCACTCCCTCATAGACCAGCTAGCTTAAATATAAGTCTCTACGGAATCTAGTAATACCCGGAATTCAGATCAATTTCACTTCACTGGAATGTCCTGACTATGCGTCGGACACCTATGCAGCAACTCGCGCACCATTGGTCAATGACCACACCACTAATGAGCAAGCTATCCAGTTGCTCGTCAATATATGAAAAGCGGGAAACGACATTGAAAAAGTCTCATGGCAGCACCAGATGGAGGAACATGAAGCCGAAGTTGTGGAACAGGTTAGGTTGGCCACGGAGGCTGATAATGACGTGCAGGAGGCGCAGCTCGCTGAGCAGGCGAACGTGCGGAAAGAAGAGATCAAAAAGAACTGAGCAAAGTTTGCACCTATTCCGGACAGGGATGTACCAACCATTGCTCCGGTGATAGCAGCTAACTACACGATCAAAAGAATGGAGAGGGGTGACTTCATTGAACTATGGTACTACATGAACGAGGGGCTTGAAGAGGCACTTCGTATCACCAGCTCTGTTGACAATGAAGCCATGGTAATGACTCGAACATCGGATGGCTCCACCTCCTGGGTTCTCGCAGGATCAGTAAGAGAAGCCCGAGGAGTAACCAATGATAAGGACATCAGATGGGAAGATTTCTGTCAAGCTGTGCCACACATGGTCTTGGCGATGGAACAAGCTCGGTGGCCAGAGGAGCGGATCACTATGCTCACAAGATTCTGGGGTAACCTGCAAATTCATGAGCTCCGCTCGAGTACTGACCCGCTCGATCAGAGGATGCTTCTGGTATATCAGGCGGACCAACGCAAGCTCTGGCACAGGGCAATCACCTCACCAGCCACCGCATACAATCTCACCCGCATCAATGATGATCTCATGCGGAAGACCAGAGAACAAGTATACTGGGCCGAACACAGTCACAGAGACAGTGAGCGAGATTTTTGTGTACATACTCTAATCCTGTGTGGGCTAATGAAGCACTAATGACTTGAATTTCGAATCCATCAAATTTCATCCATCACGATGATGAATACATCTTTCATCCAACCCGCACATGGCGTCATGTCATGCACATCCACGCACTGGCACTGGTATTGATGCGGGCATTGGCATCATCAGGAAAACCCAACTTTCTCTTATAGACTTATTTAGACTTTTGGGTCTGAGAACCCTTATTTAAGGCCATAAGTGTTCAAATAAGTCGAATTTCAGACACTCAGGGAATATGCCTTAGGCCCTTTTTGTCCTTATGTCCTTAAATAAGGACTATAAGTCCATTTAAGTTATTTAAGTGTCCTTTTAAGGAAAAGTGGGGTTTTCCTGATGATTGGCATTGGGCACTGGCATTGGGCATTGGCATTGGCATGGGCAATCTCACTCGCGCTGGCAATGGCACTGACATGGAATCACATGTCCCTTCACCATGGATTGACTATGGACAGTCAGAACAACACCGGAATACCCAGCTGGCTCCTGCACTAACACACAGAGGAGGGCAGGCTGCACAGTCACATTACAGCTTAGAGTCATGCAACTGTTCAAGGTCACCAGCTCGAGCAGGATCATCTAGTGCCATGTGACTTGGACTGAGGCCAAGAGACAATGGATACCAGATGGCACAGCGAGAGGATTTTCAGAACAGCGTAAGTGGAACTGCATATGCTGCTTGCACCATCTGTCTCAGCTGTCATGCACACAAGGTCAATGCCTGCAATGCAGCGATTACCTGGGACCAGTCTCTACCATCATTGGCCCACCAAATCGACAAAATCCTTATGCTTCACAATAGTCGATCTCTCTGTCTCGACTGGCAGTGCCTCAATTCTTGTCTCAGCTGCAGACACGACCAGAAGCATGTCTGTTCTGGCTGCAGTGACAAGATTGTAGTTCCGTCGCAAGCCGGAAAGGAGGAGTATGAGTGGAATCAAGTCTGCGTGGGGTCTGAGATGCAACGAAGGAGAAGAGTCTATTCCAGAGGTATGAGGTGGGTGGCCCGAAAGCGTAGCTAGGAAAATCTCTGTAGTTGCAATAATCGCTGGAAACACGTCAGGGTAAAATCGCACTGCTTTAAGGAGAATGCTGAAATGCAGAAATGCAAGACTGCCCAGAAAATGCACAAATGCAAGACTGCCCAAAGACGCACTAACTGGATGGGATGGGAATGTGAATGAGGCTTTTGCAAGCGTACCTTCCGGGACGGTCAGTTCTACCCCGACCTCTTCCCCTGCCATCATACTTAAACTGGTCCTGACCTTTCCTGCCCTCCCGATACTGCCCGCATCTGCTTAGCAATTGCTCTGCTGAATCACTGCCCATCACGCCATATCTCGCAATCCCATCCCCTCATGCTCCTACTTAATCCGAGGGGTCGTCCTTCACCGGGCCCGCCCGCCTCAGAGGCATATCTCCCATCCTGAACTCAATCTCCCATCCATGGACACCAGCATCATCCTTCGCAAATACGCCCTTGCGGAAGCCCTTCTTCGCATTGAGATCTTTACCGAGCCCTTCAACCCGATCCTGTGGAAAGCATGGGCAGTCTGAATGCACGTCCTGCTGGTGAGGCTCCTGCGAGCATATGTTCCTTCACTGTCCGGTCCTCACACATCCCTCAGGTTTTCATGGTCCAAGCCCAGTCCGAAGCGGCCGGTGTGGGGATCATCTTACCCCTTCCGTGCGATATTCCTGTCCTTGCCCAAGTGGAAATACATCTTGCAACGGCTCGCACTGTGGAAGCCGGCCGTCGGATGGTCTTTCAGATTGCTGACCACCTTCCTGCTGTCATTCCTCATGGTTTGACTGTGCACGTTCTGTACGATGACCCCGCTGTCCACGAGGACTTTGGTTTGGGTCACCCACCGGATGGTCTCCCTGACATTGGTGTGCAGTCGTCCTATCCCCATTTCCCTGAGATCACATTCCTTAGTTCTGCTTTATTATCCTCAGGAACCTTGCACCTTCAGGTTGAGACATTGCGCAATGCGGCCCGTGAACTGTACGATGTCATGCGCGGGATCACCGGTAAATGCGAGTTGGCGGATGGTACTTTGAGGTGGTTGCGGATCGTAGTTGAGGAGTTAGAAATAGCATTCGGGCTCGTAGTGTTCCCTCCTCCGATAACCAGCTTCCAATTGCTGTTGGACTAGGGTCCGTTGTGTAGCACCCTGTGGTATCTCCGAAATGTGAGACCTCTTCGCGGATGCGATTCCCACCTCAGCGCGCTATGCGTCCCTTCAGTGGGCAGAACACACATGGAGCTCAAGACTGCCCTCGAGCAGAGAAAGCTTAGGGCACTCACTCCTTATAGGATTAACATCTGGGAGCAATTGCTGCAAGATGTGGGACTTCTCATCAAGTATGACCATGTCCTGGAGGGATTATGCACCGGACTCATCATTAACATGCCAACAATCATGCACACTCAGGTCCCGCCCAACAGCAAATCCATTATCACATTCGCAACAGATTTTCAGAAGATCATTAACCTGGAGATATCAAAGGGACGATATATCGGACCACTCACACGCGAAGATGTTGAGGCATTTTTGGGTTCATTTCAGTCATCACCACTTGCCATCATCCCAAAACCAGGCAGACCAGGTCATTTTCATTTGGTACAGAACTTCTTATTCCCACATGCTATATTCTATCAATATCTGAATGCATCTGTCAACTCAGCAGTTGACTCGGATGACTTTCCATGCACATGGGGAACATTCAACATTGTTGCACTCCTCATCTGCCGCCTTCCTCTGAGTTCACAGGGTGCAATGTGGGATGTTGCAGAAGCATCCTGTACTGTTCCAATCCATTACACACAGTGGCCAGGGGCAGTGGTGTGAGTTATCCAGAGCCGCTACTGCATTAATACAGCAGTATGTTTCAGTGAATCACCATCAGCGGGGACATATGGATATGTGGCCAATGCAGGTGCAGATTTATTCAGATTCTATGGAATCGGGCCACTTTCAAAATGGGTGGATGACCATTTCTTCTTCCATATTCTCAGAGTACTTCTGCATCAGTACAACCACAGTTGAAAACTCTGGCATGATGACATCACTGCGTATGGTCAGCATTATAATGGTGGATGCATATGGTATGGTGGACAAACCTTCGATGACAGTACCCTCAAGGAGTTCGACGATGACTGTCAGTTTCCCATCAAAGACTTGTCTGCTCTCTCTCCTCGCTCAGAAGCCAACAAGGCCTATACATACTGTTTTGCAGATATTGACAGGCTCTCTGAGGACCTGGGTTTTCCATGAGAATGCAGCAAAGACACATTGTTTGCATCAGTGTCAGTCTACATTGGATTGTCCTCACCTGTCCCTGGCATACTGATATATCAAGTATGAAGGTTAGAACCATGGACTGATGCATGGACAGTGGTGTCTACCATAGGCTCTGATACGTCATTCTGCAGTCCTTACCAGCCATTCCCGCACCAGGCTCACTTTCCATACTCCATACCCATTGGCTTCCTTCTGGATCTCCCTTGTAGGTAGCTGATGGCACTGGCTTCACCCGTCGTTCCAGTAGATCGGTAGATTGTCTTGGATTTTGTAGGTCTCCATGATCCCCTTCAAGCGCACAAAATCCCGCCTTCTGTGCTGCCCTGTGCCACCCCTCACTGTTTTCCTTATAGAGAATGTTACTTCTGATGTGAAAAATTGACGATTATTTAAAAAATACTCCCCTCACAACATCAACATACGAGCGCAACAATCTGTCTACAAAGGATGAAACAAAAGACATATATCTAGCCATACGAAAGGAACATGCAGGTATACACGGCGCAGTGCGATATTAGCCTACTGATGGCATAGGCATAGGAACAGAAGGCATCTCAGCAGCAGGTACAAGCACAGCTGCAAAATCAATTGCAGGAGAATATTGTAGAGGGGCAGCCTCGCTGGAATCAACACCAGTGCTGACATCGCCTCCTGCTTCCAGCCAGGCAGGCACACCGTGCCATATATACTGGCAGTAGTTCTGCATTGACTCCCAGATTTCCACCTGATGGAATGTGTATGCATTGGCACCTTCCAGATGTTCTTCTGATTGCACAGGGATGGCATCAACTTGGTCCAGCCACCACTGTGCCATCCAACTGTGGAAGGTGATAACCCTGTGCATCTCCTCTGGCAGCTGGCAGCACTTTTCGATTCAGCGATGGGCCCGAGCACAAGCCTTGCACCACTCGATTCGGAGCTATGAGGAATTCCATTAGCATTTCGGTTTTGTCAAGTACTAGTAAGTGAAATCTGACAAACCTTCACTGACAGCCATGTCTGTCGCACTGCTGTTCCTCATGCCATGTCTCTGCCAAATCCAAGACATTTTCTTCCGGCTGCAGGTCTCGCTCAACTCCCCCTCTGTAATCCCTCACACATCTTCATCCTGCAGCGGGACCAAGTTGTGAGGTGTTGAAGGCTCATTGAGCAGGGTTGACAGTGAATCGATAGTATTGAAGGCACAGCAATAGCGTGCAGCATCTGCATTTACCTTGTTCTGGATTTGTGCAATGCACGACCTGGAGCAAGTGAGGTACCGCTGTCCATGGACAAATCAGTCCTTGAACTTGTACATATGGGTATGCAGCCATAGATGTCACCGAAGCTCCTCCAAAGCATCATGTGCCTGAGCAGTCCTTAGGTGCAATTCATATTTTCATAGGCGAGAGTTGCAGGAGATATTAGAGGGTAACTCCGAAGGTAAATAAAGGGCCATATCTTGCGCAAGAACCTCCTTGGTAGCAGCAGCAGCAGCTTGTGCATGCAACACTATGGAAACAGGGATGTATAGCTGCTGAATGTCTGCTCAGCCCTCTATCTTGCACTGAAGTGCATTTTGCTGCTCGACAACCTTGGCACATTGCAGATCTGTGCTATGGGTTCCAAGGCCAGTGACATCTCATCGAAGGCGATATCTGAAAAGAGAACTATGAGAATATGTTCACAGTAGTCAGGCTAACACTTACTGTTGCTCCTGGAGCTCCATTTGACCATGATCATCATGCTTGGAGAGGGGAGGTCATAGACTATCTCACTGCGCTCACCATTCTCCAACTCTGCAGCCTTTTCATTGGCCAACTGCAGCTGTACAGCTGCTTGAGTCACAGCTGAACATACGGAGCATTGAAAAGGGTGACCTGCACTGTAATAAAAGCACTTACCGGGACGCATAATGACAAACAGATTGGTTTGAGATGGGTTCTTCTCTCAAGCTTCGATGGTAGTTGTCCATTCACCATAATCCTCTGGCGTGATCACATTGTTCAGTTCTGCAAAGGTGAAGACTTGTTCATTGCACTCTGGCAGTGCAGCTTTGATTCGTGCTAAGAACAGAGCAGCTTTGGTATTATTAGCCCAAAGATGTCAGCGTGAGCTTCAACATAGTACTCACGCATGCCACATATTTTCTGCCAATTGTAATCTGCAAATGCATCGTCAAGAAAGTTACACTGCAAACCAGGGCCCATCTCCTTCGTGCTCGAGGAATATAAGTTTGAGTCCGACCAGGGCCGCTCAACACCCTCGCCATCCGTCTCGCCAATGTGCGGAGTATTATGGAAGGAAAAGCTCATCTGGTATGAATCTTGATGAGCATTGATGTAGAATTTCGGGATCAGGAAGACAAAGTCTTGATCGTCCTTCTTGAATGGACAGTCTTCATAAATGTGGTACTGTTTCCACAGGTTTCTATGCCACTGACAAGCAATATCGTAGGAGACAACGACGTCCTTTGGGGCAATGTTTGCCAGGGCCGAGAAGAAAATGTAGTCCATGTTGACATACCTGTGTGGCAAGCAATGAGCACTGAAACATGAATGATGTCGAGGATCAGCCTACCGTTCTCCCTTTTAGAGGTTACCAACACTGCATGGTAGCCTCATATCATGCCGCATACATGTTGCAGCACCAACTCTGCTGGCAGCTGTTCCTGCAATGGAGCCCCTTGTGTTCGCCAGCTTGACAGCATCATAACTGTTGCAAGTACTCTGTTCTTCCATCACGAGGGAATCGTACATGCCGAGGTATTCCTTGTATGCCCTTTCCTCCACAAAGTAGGCATATCCATGATTTAGCCCAGGATCAACACTATCCAAAGATACCTTCTTGCACTTGAGGTGGAAGTTCACATCGAGTCCAACAAACAGGTGATATAACCACCTATCACTGCGTGTAAGTTACCAATCGAAACAACTAATTGTGAACTTACTTTTGATCATCCAGGGCATCCTCCAAATCTGGCAGCAAATTTTTTCCGGGGTGCGGACAGGCTGGGCAAAGAACTGCACATGACCCAGGTGTCATCACCTTGACACCATCAGGATCATGTCCTCGTCCTGCTCATTTCAGCATTTTGAGATGCCTCCACATACACATAATGTGCATGAAGGCAGAATAATGATCCTACATTAGATCAGCAATGGATAAAGCAGAAGGTCAACATAATACATACCTTAGGCATCTGCACACCGGTGTTATCGGTCAGCCGGGCAAGGCTCTGGTAGAATTCATAGCCAGAGGTCTTGAATTGAGTCATCAGGAGGTGTGTATATCGGCAAAGCTGGAAAGTAGCAGCTGTCTTGGGGTTCATCGATGTGGCTGAGAGGAGTCGTGTGTGAAGCAGTTGCATCACATGAATTTCGGCTATCTCGCACCTGCAAAAATCCAGTCCAACTTCGTGGATACCATTCACACACAAGACTATGAAGTCATCACCTGTAGCTCGCACAGGAAGATGACACCTATGTCCAACTGGGTGACCCAACTGGATGCGCAGTCCAAGATTTTTCAATGAATCGTGCTGAAAATGAGAGCCACACCATCTCTGAAACAGGTTTGCAAAAAAAGAAACTCAATTGTACCTTCGAATAAGAGTAATAAAACCCAACTGACCTGCACGTGATGGAAAGGAGTGCGCCTGTGAAAATTAACGGTGCATGTTCAGCAGTAAATAACAAGGTCAAAACAGACCTTGCAATGAACCATTGTCGGGCCCTCCTCACAAAACTGGCAGTGCTCGGTGTCAAAACCACAATGCCCCTCCAGCTGCAGCATCTTGGCGAGATAGTTGTTAATTTCAGGAACCCATTCCTGGAGTGGATGATTTTGGGCAAAGATATTAGATAGCTACACTTGAAAAATCACAGAAGCTCACCCCTGCACCACGGCGGTGAGGCTTATGTCCACACAGTTTCTCTACATCCTCTAAATACTGGGGGTCCAGGTTGAAGAGATCTATGTCTTCGTTGTCATCAGGGATACCAGAAGTTGGCCTGCAGAGTTCAGACAGATCAAATGATGGTGCATCTTTATCACCCACATCAGTATAGAAGGACGTTCGTGCAGATACTTTGTTGCATGCAGATACGTATTCTGTATGCTGCACGATGTCACGACTCCATGAAACGATGTAGTGGTGGTAGTTGATGCCATCAGTGGTTTCTTCTAAGACAGTGAATTGCTCAAAGTTGGGTGTTCTTTTCTTCCTCGCCATGATAGAGACTGCGGCACGCAGTAAGACTTCAGCTTGTTCCAAGGATTCATTTTGTCAGCAAGGCTAGCAAACATAGAGATGGACAACGAAAATAGGGTCGCATCATTGTCAGTTATAAAGAATAATCTTTAGTGCTTATAAGTTACAATTAAGGCTGAAATCCGGGTTTAATAAGCAGGCCATGTGGATAATCCAAACATGAGGATTATCCCTTTGAAGTATTCTAAGCTAATCTGAAGATAATCCAAAGGAATAATCCAGAAGATAATGCTAAAGATTATCCAAAGCTAAAATCAATTTAAGAACTTGCACCCAGGCAGAATTGAACTCTTAACCTCAGGTAAAAGTCACATGACTAAGAAACTCCAGACACTTTAACCACCACTCCATATAACCTTAACAGTTTACACTCATGCATAATATATATAGTAAATTTTGCTGAAAGGACTTAGACAAATTCTGCTCATTACAAAAGTGGTGATTGAGTTAGACATAAGACAAAGGATGTTTCTAGTCACTTTGGGGTACCCTTCAGACCTAGCTCTTAGCTTTAACATAACTTGTAGTATATTGTAGCTAAGGACTTCTCAGATGACTGACTGACCATAGTACTAACACATGTCCCAGAGCATTATATGTAATTATCCAGAATATAGATAGGATATAGGCTGGTTCATCTTATAGTACTAGTGTATTTACTAGTGGTTCTATAATGTCAGGGGTACATAAGGTGTTCCACTATTCACCTTAGAGTACTTTTTATCTCTAGCTCTTAGCAACAAAATCTTTTATAGTATGTCATTGCTAAGTTCCTCTTAAGTGCCAGTATGATCATAGTATCAATACATGTCTCAGAGCATTGAAAGATTGCTCAGGCTATAGATAGGATATAAGCTGAGCATATGAGATAAATCTTGTGAGGGATATCCTACTAAGCTAGAATATTGATACTCTGAAGTAAATAGTGGAACATCTTATATACCCCTGACATTATAGAACCACTAGTAAATACACTAGTACTATAAGATGAACCAGCCTATATCCTATCTATATTCTGGATAATTACATATAATGCTCTGGGACATGTGTTAGTACTATGGTCAGTCAGTCATCTGAGAAGTCCTTAGCTACAATATACTACAAGTTATGTTAAAGCTAAGAGCTAGGTCTGAAGGGTACCCCAAAGTGACTAGAAACATCCTTTGTCTTATGTCTAACTCAATCACCACTTTTGTAATGAGCAGAATTTGTCTAAGTCCTTTCAGCAAAATTTACTATATATATTATGCATGAGTGTAAACTGTTAAGGTTATATGGAGTGGTGGTTAAAGTGTCTGGAGTTTCTTAGTCATGTGACTTTTACCTGAGGTTAAGAGTTCAATTCTGCCTGGGTGCAAGTTCTTAAATTGAGTTTAGCTTTGGATAATCTTTAGCATTATCTTCTGGATTATTCCTTTGGATTATCTTCAGATTAGCTTAGAATACTTCAAAGGGATAATCCTCATGTTTGGATTATCCACATGGCCTGCTTATTAAACCCAGATTTTAGCCTTAATTGTAACTTATAAGCACTAAAGATTATTCTTTATAACTGACAATGATGGAGAATAGTCAAGGTAATTATCCTGGAGTACTACAAGGCAAATGTGAAGTCAGCGGGCACGCGCATCAAGAGCAAGATAGAGACGTGCATTTCTGACTTGCATCTCTATGGCTTTTATGAATTCATTAACTCGAGACCCTACAGAATAGTTGGAATTTACCAGAAGTATGCAAGTCGATTGAAAAAGACTGGAGCTGATGTCGAGCGAGAAGATACTGATGCAATACTCATGGTGGAATTGGCTGAGCAGAATGGTGCTTCAGAATTTCTGAAGTGGTACATACCTGCAGATGGGCCAGATGATGACATACCAGCTGAGGTGTTGTCGACTCGGAGTACACACAGGCCTTGTCTGGAGGAGCTTTTGACTCCAGGTCAAGTAAGTAGTACTTCACTGTGGTTCACCGGGCATGGCAAAAGGGAAAGTATGTCGGGCTATCACAGTTGTTCGTTGATATCAAATTTATGATAGTGGGTTAGGGACGCCTGAGCTATACGTGTGTTTTGTTGTCTGAAGTCGGGATGGTAGTCTGCACAATACAGATGAGAGAGTGTAGAGGAGGATGCCTAGCAACTGTGTGCAAGGGCTTGCATTCTGTCTTCTTATATGATGCCTACAAACAGTGCAGGGCTTTAACGGGTTTTCTTATACGAGGCCTACAACTGGTGCAGGGCTTTCCGAGTCTTCATCATCTTCCTAATGTTACAATGCTCCTCAGTTATGACACATCTTTTCTTTTTCCTTTCGTCGTTCCCTTTACTTCACCGGACCACGTGATCCAACACGTGACTCATCGGAGCGCAACCTTCAATTCTCTACCCAGATGTCCAGAACTCCTAGTCTAGGGTTACACCGGATCCAACTCTGGACCTTCTTCTTATCACACATGCAAGACGTGCATGTATGCCTTATCTTTACCTCGTTCTGATACACAACTCGTTATCTCCATTAGTACTGATTATCTCTCACAATCTTACTCAGCTTTCTCATACATATTACTTCCTCGCTGTTACCTTGCCCAGACATTGTTTCACCTTATCTAGCAAATGAACGATCCCGTATTACTGCATAGTACTGCGAATACCTTTTGTATAAGTAGATGACCTCGTCGAGCTGGATCCCCATCTCGACCTGGTTACCATTAAACCAGCTTTTCACTTGCCTTTGACTGAGATTGATCATCAGTAGCAGACAGCTACTACGAGTCATCAGAATGAACTCTGATCGACCTTCAGTGCAAGGACATCGCCAGAAGTGTTACTTGAACGGACTTGTGTCTTAGACTAAGACCTTGTCTCGTGACAACTCGACTAGCCGCTCGTGTTTCGCTGCTGCGTAACACCTAATCCGTGTGCCTACAACCGTGTGCAGGGCTTACCGAGTCTTCTGTGGTCCTATCCGGTGCCTACAACCATGTGCAGGGCTTTACTGAGTGCATGTGTCCTAATACAATGTGCCTGGCTGATAACTTTCCTACATGTTGTCCGAGAACTTTCTGAGAACGGTTTGAGTATCTAGCAACTGTGTGCTAGACTACCCAAAAGAAACTGTACAAGAGTGCAGTAGTTGTATTTGTAACAACTCACTGCCTGTGCTGAACTGACTTCATCGGGATCCTTTTGATTACAAGTAACAAGTTACTGGGAGGAGTGGAACAAACTTCTATTCTTTTAGTTTATCACTTGTAGGGTAAGCTACAAGCAAAGGGAGAACTCTTCACTTATAGGGGGCTACAAGTGGGGAGAGAAGACTGAGGGTCAGGGCACCTCAAGGGTCCTTTTATACCCCTCGGGTGTCATCTGTTGTGACCATTACATAGTAGTGTTACATGGCAGATTGGCCAATAGCAAAATAAGAGCATCACGTGATCAAAGGGGAAAGTAGGAAGGAAAAATGTCTTAGGACCTTCGTGTCCAATAGCATAAAGTGAGCAGGGAGAAACAGGGAAAACAAAAACTCTTGGGACCTCCATGTCCAATAGTATAAAGTGAGCAGGGAGAAGTAGGGAGAAAGCACTTTCCGAGTTTTTCCCATCCAATAGCATAATGTGAGCATCAGGTGACATGCTCAGCCAAACGTTCTTGGGTTCCGTCTTAGTCACGTGACTTCTTCGTTGAGCACTTCACTGGTGGTTACATGTTCACAAGCCAAACACTTTTGGTGCGTGACAGCGTGTTGGAGTGAGTACTATATCTCATCTCGTTCGTGCATTGTAGGACTTAATTTTAGTGATGTTTTCTCAGAAGAGATTGTGAATGAATGGAGGTTTTTCCCACAGTTCCACAAGATCCTTGCAGTGTGGCCAAATGTAAATCCGATAGCCGTAATGACTGGTATTGGTCCCGCAGGTGCAAGAATGCTGCATCTGCAGCCTCCGAGCCCCACAGCTACTGGTGACATTGCACCAAGTGATGGGCCGGATGCATCATCTTCTGAAGCTCCATATGCTGCCAATCTTGATAGTGATCCCTCACAGATGTTGTTACAAGACATTCTCATTGCTACAGTTCACAATCAGCAAGCCAAGGAGGCCACTGATGCCATAGTTGCTACGACTATCCAAGGGAAAGAGAATGTGCCTGTTACTCTGGCAAGAATGACAGTTTCACACAGCATTCTTGAGGGTGTGAAGAGCGCAGTGAAGAAATGTACCTACAAACCAACATTTCTCCAGTTTCTTCTCCTCCGCTGTCAGTTGTCGCACAAAGAGATCATGGAGAGACTCAATGGCATTGAAGCACTGGCTCGTGTACATCTTCACAGTTCCCTTGGAGCAGCCTGCAGCCCATGCAATATCTATCACAGAGGCTCCATTCCCATAATGGCCTAAACGATACAGTGTGACAGCAAGCTGTGTTTCCACTGGGGCCTAGGCATGATGCGACTCAGATTGGAAAATGGGATGATCTTGAATCAGGATCAAGAGGACCTGGAAAGATTCCGGGGTGAGGTGAAGCATGTTGATGAAGCCTCTGTAATCATGGGGACTCTGCACATAATGCCAGGCAGGATGGAGGTTCCCAATCTTCAAAACTGGTGGGTGATCACAGAGGTACTGAATTTGCAAAATTGCGATGAGAATGTTGATATCAAGGTTCAACTGGCAACAAAGGTCTTCTGCATTCTCAAGTGGAGTATAGAGATCTCGAACGAAAGCATGGAATAAATATGAATGCAGTACTTGACATCTGTAGGGAACCCTCATGGCACAGATTGGGAACTTAGATGGGGTCAGTACCCTAATTGGGCCCATCACACTGTGATTCATCGGTCACCTAAGCAAAAATTGCATGACAAAGCAGCCGCAGTCTCAGCGTGGGGCATTCAAACATCTGCCGCTGTTTAGATGGCCACTTTTGCAGAAAGCAACTAAAAGCTGCTTTCGCAGATACAACT